CTCCATGTTTTTCTCACCCCTCCATCTCTTTTTCATTTACAGCTCTCCTTTCAGGTGAGCCCAGTTTGTCCATGGCCACTGGGCCACTACAGTTCAGGTTTTTTATTGAAGAAAAATTGAGGACATAGTGCAGTTATTTGTTGATTTCTGTATTTTCATGAGGGTGATTCAACATGTCTCTCCAGAGGAATCATGTTTCCTCTTGTAGCTTATGCGTTGAGTATCAGGTGGATACTGTTTCCTTTGTTGTTCTTTGGTCAGGTCAGGGACTGATTCATTTCAACTGATACTCAAGAGGAAGATGGAACAAATATTTATTGAGCATGGTGATAGGTATCAGAGTTATTATGATGAATAAGGGATTATCTCCTGCCTTTAAGATACTCTCCACCTGGAGAGAAATGAGCACACACAGTTACAGTCCAGGCTTCAGAGTAAAGAATCTCCATGTGGAGAGACACACGTAAATAGCAGTTATGATACAGGGTTAGAATGAACTTGAGACAAATAGGAAGTTCCCTCCATTGGGGAAGGATGTTGGAAGAGCTACAGCATTTCTGCCATGGCATTCAGCACTTAGGTTAATACTGGAAAATGAATGTGAGTTATCAGGTGACGATAGTATATGGAAGTGGGGAATAATGGAAGGCAATGCTCATGGAGAATGAGAAGAGACTCTCGGGTTCCAGGGAGAGTAACTGTGACAGAGTTAGAGAATTAACAGCAGACAGTGGAGCTGGAAGACAGAGCCCTCTGCAAGGCAAGAGGAATTATGTGATCAGAGACTACGAGACAAGCTGAGAGAACCCCCTGAAGGACATTGTCAGTTACTTGAACAGGCCTCTCACTCTGGAGTGGGGTCTGGTTTTAGAAAGCAGAGTGGCAGAGCCAGAGTTTCCCTTTACAAATACTTCAGCTGTATCGTGAATGATGGCTGCAGACAGGTCTATTTGCCAGCACCAATGACTCTCTTGTGTGAATTAGAAAAAGAACAACTTGGAAATCAGAAAATCACTTCTGTGAATTGTGTTCCCTCAACCCTAGGATCTGGATTGAACTGGATTTCTAGTCCCCCTCTTTAGACTTGTGTAGTGGTTCACAGTGCTTCCCTTTGGAGAAGAGTTTTGCAGCAAATATTAAGATGCTGGGGCTGTGGAATAGAGAAACAAATTGGAGGCTCATTGAGAAATTGAGAATTTGTAGAGCTTGGTGGTTTACAGGATCCAGAGGGAAGGGAAGTAGGAATAGGAGTCTGTATTTTTGTCAGTGCTTTTCATGTTCAGTCCTCCACCCTCCCCTTTCTCTTTAACTCTCTCTCTAACGGTGCAACCCTTTCAGCCCTTTCTCATCCAGAGAACTCAGTCTACACTTGAAGAGACCCAGGGCAGCATCTGTCGGGTAGTAAAGAAATAACTGAGGAAGTAGGCTTCAGGCAGGAATCTGACATTAGGCTAGAACAAAGAAGTAATTTCAGACAGGAATCTAAATTTTAGGCTAGAACAAGGAAGTAGACTTCAGACATGAAAATGACTTTGGCTAGAACAGGGAAGTTGGCTTAGATATTTTGGTCATCCTGACAAGCCCTTAGAAACAGTGATCACCAGAGTGTTCATGTAATTGTGTTTACTGCCTTACTTGTTCTTTGACTATTTGTGTTTATTGTCTTACCTGTTCCTTGACTATTTGCATCTATTATTGCTAGACCCTCAACCTAGAACTGACCTTAATATATGCATGTAATTAAAGTGGTATAAAAGCAAAAAGGAGGAGGGGGGATGGGATGGGGTTCTAGGGAGGGGAAATGGGGAAAAGAGATGACATCTGAAATGTAAGTAAATAAAATATTCAATAAAAAAAGAGAGAAATAACTGTCCCTGGCTGTTAGAACATTGTGTGAAGACGAAGGCTCAAAAAGAGAGTGGTCCATTCTGTTTAGGACTGTGCTGGGAAATAGAAGAGGGCATGCTGTCAAAAGGCAGAAAAGGGAGAGTGAAGATGATTAAAATCTCAGGAAGTAGCAGATAATATGATGTTCCTAACATAGGCATGGAGTTTAAAAGCAAAACAGTGTGGTCTTTGGGCAGACCCAGAACTTTTGGGTTTTAGCTTTGGTACAGCAGGGAAGGGTGCTGTAAGAGTCTAGAGGGTGAAGCAAGGCTCAGAGATAACCAGGGTCCTTTATTTTCCAATTGTGTTCTCCTGTGCTACGTATGTGACAAAAAAAAAAAGCAATGAATGACAGGCATCCTCACTTCCATGGAGACACACTGATGTCCTTAGATTTTTATCTAGGAGTCAGTGTGGGATGTGTTGTATTAGTCAGGGTTCTCTAGAGTCACAGAACTTATGGGATGTCTCTCTATATTGAGGGAATTTATTGTGATGACTTACAGTCTGTAGTCCAAGTAACCCAACAATGGTCAGCTGTGAATGGGAAGTCCAAGAATCTAGTAGTTGCTCAGTTCCATGAGGCTAGTTGTTTCTGTTGGTCTCTGTAGAAGTAGGCTCCAACAGATGTGCTGGCAAGTAAGTGCAAGCAGGTGGAGAAGAGAGAGTGAATCTTCCTTCTTCCAATATCTATACGTAAGCCTCCAACAGAAGGTGCTGCCCAGATTAAAGGTATATACCACCACACCTGGATGTGGAACTTGCTTTGTCTCAGGCTGGCCTTGTCTCAGAGATCTCCTTGTCTCATTCTCCAGGGATTAAAGATGTGTACTACCTTGTCTGGACCTAAGATTTTCATGGCCACTATGCCTCAAGATTTCCATGCCAAATCCAGATAAAAAAATCTGTGTCTTCCAGCCTCCAGATCTGGATCACAGGTGTGCCTTCCAATTCTAGATTGTAGTTCATTTCAGACATAGTCAAGTTGACAACCAGGAATAACCATGACATATGTCATATATTCATATCAGTGAGGGCTATGGATGGGAAGGTGAGATGAAACACAGAAAGATCAGATAGGGACTACATTGCTATGGGCACATTGTAGACAGGCTGAGATGGTATAATGGAAAGGAGGAGAAAAGGGATCCTTTTAAAGAAATATTTAGTTTATGTACAAGTGTGTGCCTGTGTGTATGTATGTGCAGCCCATGTGTGTAGGAGCCCTTGGAAGAGGATGTGAGGGCAAGACTTGTTCAGTGACTGAATGTAAGCAGTGAACAAGTGGGCAGGTGAAAGGGTTGCCTGTGGTCTCTGATTTGGGTGACAGGGGAGTGAAGTGTCTTTCTTACACTGGGACAGAAATTTGTGATGTATAGATGAAAATAGTAAGTTTGGTGTTTTAGAATTATATCATTTTGCCACCAACATTAACAAACCAATCAACCAACCAAACCAAACCAAATCACTACTCAAACAATTTTCTATAACATATCCTTAAATTATGTGTCTATTCTTGGTAAGAAAAATAATCAAGTCAATCAATGATTTGAACAATCTCTAATCAAATTATATTGTTAAATTATTTCTGTGATGTGTGGTTCTGATTTTGTGAAACTAAAGTGAGAAAGGATAGCTTAACTATGGATAGGCCGTGGTGCCATGTTATGCCAAAGCATAGCCAGGGACTGCTTTGTGAGGGGATGAGGGGATCTTGCTCTTGCTTCATAAACTCAGGGAGCAGAGAGGAAGCTGTGAGCTCTTATGACCTCGGGGCCACTCACCTCTCCTTCAGAGCCTTGGCTTCAGGTGCACAAAGATGGCCTCTGACTACAACGACACATTTGTTAATGACCTTAATGGGATGCATTTTAGTAAAGAAAATGAAGACTGAGTAAACAGAGAAAATACGGGCACATCAATGTTCCAACCATTTTGGCGATTGCAACATAGACTAGCAGGGATTCAAAGTAAAATATAGTTAATGGAAGTTCAGTTTGAAGAGGCAAGAAGTGTTACAGGAACATGGTATATATATTATATTATTTATATTATTTTCAAGAAGAATTGACTTTTGAGTAAAAACAGGGGAGAATTTGTCTTTATGATTCTGGGACACTTACTTACCTAGTAATTTCCAGCTCTACCCATTCTTCTGAAATGTCGTGATTTTACTTTTCTTTATAGGTGGTTATATATAATTTGGTGTGCAAATGTACCACATTTTCCTTACCTGTGCATCTGCTGAGGGATATCTAGGCCATTGCCAATAGTGCTGCAATGAACATGGCTGTACAAGTACCTCTACAACTGAACATAGAGGCTTTCGGGTGTATACCCAGGAGTGATTCCTCTGGGTCACATGGTCTTCATGTTTTAAATTCACCAATGTGAATTCCCACCAAGCATGAGTAAAGGTCTCTCTTTCTTCACATCCTTACCAGCATTTGGTGTTGTGTGAGGTAAGCTGTATTTGTGCTAACTTGTTCTCATTGAAGGATTGTGAGAACGACCTGCAATGTGAAACCACTCTTCTCAACCTCCTTTCTGTCTCTCCTTAACTCCTTTCCAGCAGCATGCTTGAGACCCCCAGGTTGTGCCTCTGAGTGATGGATTAGAATGAATCTTTAACATATCTTGCTTTCTTTTTTTTTTTTTCTGAAAAAAGTCAATAGTCTATAGCTTCAACATTTCTTTCTTAAGATGAATGAAAAGTACATAGGTATGTGGTGTTTCAAGAGGAAAGAGGTGTTTGGGTTAAATTGAAATATAAACAGGTGGTATCTGACCTTTAAAAAACAGTATCTTCCTGGGCCCCGAATGAAGACGCTTGCTGCCAAACATGACACAGGAATTTGGTTCCTAGGACCCACATGATGGAAGGAGAGAACCCATTCCCACAAATTGTCTTCTGATCCACACGATTACACATACATACATATATGCATACATATATGCACACATACACACACATATGCATATATATACACATGTACACACATACATGCATATACACATTTGCACACATAAAATAAATAAAAGTAAAATAATTAAAATAGTATCTTCTATATTCATGAATTAAAGCAAGTATTACCTTCACTATGATAATGTAGAGTTTTTCACTGAATGAGTGTGCGTAAAGAATTCTTTTAGACCCCCTTGAAATTATTTGTGAGTTCATGATCACAAGGGATATACTTTAAAAACTCAGAAATATCTTTTTATTCATGTTGCTTTTCAAAATGTTGTTGCAGCTCCTGATGAGGGCCGTTTTTTCTTTAAGATACAAACAGTGGTACTTACAATAATACAAACTAGTACAACAGAGCCCACCACAGACAGCACAATAGTAGAAACACTAACTCCAGAACGTGGACGTTCATCAGGGATAGGCTCTGCCTGAGGCGTGAATAGTGCTACTTGTGCGATGTTGGACGGTCCTGAGTGGAGATTGCTTTTGTCGACACTTTCAATGGCAATGAATATGTAGGTTGCATTTTCTTCTGCGATGTTTTCTGGTTTAAAGGCAAAGGTTTCCTTGGAGTTGGCTTCTTGTGGTGTCAGGTTAGTTGTATCAACCCGAAGAGAATTATCAAAATTGTCTCTGAGGTCAATGATATTTTCGCTTGTTCTTATGATATACTGTTGAGCTAAGAAAAGTGTTATGGGTTAGTTATTGCATCATACCATATTAAATGTCTTTCTAATTGTTCCCACAAATATTTAGTCATGCAACGCATGCTCACATCAACCGTCTGATTCATATTTCTGTAAAAGCTGAGTTCTGATTTTTAAAGACAGCCATTCATGAAAAGCAAGAAGTACTTCATAAACTAGAAAACCTCAGATCCTAAATTCCTACATGGCTGAGTTGTCAGTCATAAGTGCTCTCCCCTAGCTGACCTGTCTGCTCTTACATCACCCTGGATATCTCTCACTTAGATCAAACTCACATGGGTCCTTGTTCTTACCTTTTCCTACATCAAAATCATCTCCTGGTGCCGTCCATGTCAGATGGATGTTTTCCCCATCAAGTGTAGCCTGGAGGTCTGTGATTTGACTTGGTGGGTACAGATCAGGCAATGAACCACTTGGAACATTGGACATCACAAAGGCACCTCCAGATGCTGTCCTGCTGAAATTCTCCAGAACTGGCTGAGTAGCCTCAGTCGTTTCGGGTCTGGGTGGGTTCCCTTGAATTTCTCCTGCATTTAAAATTCTCTAGTTAAATCAGATGGAACTGTATACTGTTTTTAGAGCTCAGACAGTAAGCTCCCTGAACCTCCTTGTCTTTACTTTCTTCTTTCTCTTTTCATTCCTGTGGCTGCATTTTTACATGCTTCAATCCTAAGCATTCCATTTGTGGGAAAATTCATCCTCCAGAATTCTTACCAGGATGCTATCAAATCAAATTGGACAATAACTTGCTTTGAAATGAAAACTGCACTGAATCAGGATGTTATATAATTTGTTATATGAATAAACAAAACAAAATAGATGCAAAATCAAACAGGCAGGTATGAAACCTAGGCTAGCCTCCAATGTACTTATGTAGCCAAGGATAACCTCGAAATCCTCATCCTCCATCCTGCCTGTGTCTCCTAAGTGCTGGGATCATAGGCGTGTGCCACCATGCCGCCCTAACATATCCCTTAAGAAAAGTATTGCTTTATTTCTCAAGTTATTTCTGACTAGAAATGTGTCTGGGGAAACCAGCACCAGTTCTATCCTTAACACTCAGATGGCTTCTGTCCCTCTATGTCAAAAGTGCTAAGAAATAACGCTCTAGACTTGTTCCATTGCTTAGCTCCCCGCCCCTCCAGATAAGGAGTAAGGAAAGTGAAGCTTGAAAACATTGAAGCATGTGTAACTCAGAGGACGGACCACCCCACTGGCTTGCACTTCTGTTCATAGCAAAGTGGGCCATATCCTTTGTCGGGAGCTGAAAGGTGGACACATTGTTGCAGAGAGTCTAAGGATGACCACACTAACAAATACTAGCTGATAGTTTTCAGCATTTATTGGATACCAGGCTTAGATTGAGTCAGAGTAGAGGCAATTGTATAAAGATCTCACTCTAGAAACAGTGTGTGTGTGTGTGATATTTTGAACTGTAAAATGCTTGCATTAAAATGATTTACTGGGTTTCTGATACTGGGAACCACTCACCATCCACTACCCAGCCTGGTATGTACGCTGCTCTGCTTGACGGATGGCGTAAACTTCTCCTGGCAGAGTTTGTTCCTCCATCTGCACGGACTTTTAAACTGTATCTGCCATTTGTAGAATAAGCTGTGAAGTACCTGGAGTAGACACCATCATCCTTGAAAGCATCAGCCCCTTGTTAAAAGCATAAAGAAATGAATTACAATAATTGTAACAGATGAGAAGTTGATGTGTGTTGTCACACAGCATGGCCTTACATGCATAGTCTGTTCCTGTGCTTACAATTTCACATTTGAATGGAGTTCATCTCCATCAGTTTCTGTCCAAATAATACATTACTGAATCGTGTACCCTCGGCTCACTTTGGTATGTATATACCGACACTCATACAACATGTTCACCCACACTGATAATTGTGTACCATAAATACTTTTTTTCCAGTAAAAGAATTTTAGATTAGTTTGTTCCCCCAATGAACTAAATGCTTGTCTGTAAGTCCAGTAAAATACCAAGAAATGAAGTTACATGCACTGTGGACAGGCCTGGGAATAGTTGAGAATTATTCTTGCAATGAAAGAAAATGTGGAATTCATTCCAAGAATAGTCAAATATAGCTGAAGACAAGTTTGTAGAATGACATAAAATGACATTGGAAAATGTACTGATGGGCATCTTTACTCATTCATATGTGGACCAGGTTGGTTATTTTATTCGCTGACTTCCACACAAGGTTCCATTCACAGGAGAACTCGGAGTGCAGAGAAAGTGTTTTCTGCAGCACCTCCCTACAGAGCAGCCATTGCAGTTCCTAGCCTCCTGCCAGGCAGACATGGCATCTGATGCTGCAGTGCCCAGTCCCCCTCTCTGTGCTACCTCTAGCTTCTCCTGGGTCCCAGCTCTCAGGACTCTATCTGTGCTTTGTTTCAGTTCTGGGTAATCGCTCTTGCTTCTTTCCCTTCAGCTGTCAGGATCCCAGGTTGTTACTCTCTCTTACCCGAGAGACAATTCCTGCATCACCTGCTTTGATCACCCCTTTTTGGTGCTGCTCCCCTAAGAAGCATGCAGCTAGAAGGAATGCTTATGTTCTCTGTTTTCTGAATGAGCCTGATTTAGCTGGAGACAGGCGTTGCCTGTCAAGATTACAAACATAATTTCGGCAGTAGCTGAGATAAACAGAATGCTTACCATGTGCAAGATCTTTGCTAAGCACTTAGGCGTTACCCGATTGCATTTCTCGCTAGTCTTGCTATTCTTTCCTAATCTGTGTTAACTCTTCAGGCGGCCATCTTGTTGTACCAGTTGCTCCAGGAACACATGACACATTTGGAGCTATAAACACATAGGGTTATTCATAAAAGTCTGTGAATTACCTGCACCGTTGTCCAGCAGGAGTAGCTCTTCTGTATTTCCATTGTTTGATTCTATGGTAGCTGTCACTCGGGCTCCAATGATGGGAGTGTACCCTTGTAGGACTTCTGCATACACAATCATTGGGCTGGGGAAACTGTTAGTGTCTGTATTTACTTTCGAATTTACAATGATGGGTGGCACAGAAGAATTTGCTGCCCGAGAAGTTACTGTAATCGTTACTATCTCTGAGTTTTCTTTGGATTCCAGGTTGTAAGTCCAAACGCCCACCTAAAATTTTCAATGAAACATGCAGCAAGCATTTAGAATCCAATGACATAGTTTTTTTTCCTCCATTATGTGATTTTAAAATAAAGCATGGAAGTAAAAAGCTAACAGATTGGGTTGAGTGGTTTTAGAAAGGTCTTAATTCCTCAGGTATTGAAGCTGAGACAGTTAGACCTGATGTTATGCATGACACTTGCATTTTGTGATAGCTTAATTGGAAAACAATGTTTGGATAACTCTGCCTTCGCTTTGGCCTATTCTTTGGCCTCAGTGCCCTATGACTCTGGCGGGAAGAATGGGAAAAGATGGCTCTCCAGGTCACCAGGATTCTTCACATTTCTTCCTCCCTGCTCTCAGATGCCTTCTCTTTTCTGTCAACCCATGGCTTCTTCCCCTCTACCAGACACCTAAGCTCTCAAGGTCACACAGGTAAGGGAAGAACATACATTTTACTTTCATTTTGAAGACGGTAAAGTTATTGTACTCACATTTGTGATGTGCTTTGAGCCTCTTTGGAAAAACATCTTTAGGGGGACATTGACATGCTAGTGGCTTACCTGAGCTGTTCCTGGGATACTGAGATAGGCCATTTTAGAAGCTGTGTCCATTGTGAAATTTGTGATTTGTGTTCCTTTGGGATCCCTGAGATAAATGGCAGGAACTTTTTGACTCCAGGTGACAAGAAAGAATGTGTCCTTTCCCAAGGTGCTGTCAATTACTACAGTGCCATTCAGCCAGAGACTATTGTTGAGTATGGCACCATTACTTTCAAGCTGTTTAAATGTAAAACAAACAACAAAAAGAAAAGAAAAAAAAAACCTTAATGACTACAGAAGAAAATAGTTTTATTCTTTTTTCTTATTTAGATACTTCCTCATATTTGACCTGAAAACAGTCTTACATATGCTGAACTACCTTAGCTTTCTCTTTTCCCTCCCTCCCTTCCTCCCTCCCAGTAGATTTGCCATCTTTCTGAAGGCTTCTTGGGATGTGACAGTTGCAAGGTTGGTAATGCAGACTCTGAAGAAAGGGCGAGGTATAAGAGGAGATTTAGGTGGAAACATCAGTTGAAGAGTTGGGACTGTGACCTTGTTATACTTGTGTAGTTTTCTGGAAAATGCTGCTGTTGACTGTTGGCTGTAAACGATGCTAAAGCTTACAGAGAATTAATATTGCGTGTGTGTGTGTGTGTGTGTGTGTGTGTGTGTGTGAGAGACATGTGCTTTATCATCTCACTGATGACCAGAAAGATGAGTGATTTGAGTATTTTAACTGAAACAGAGTAAAGGCTTCCACAGTGTAACAAAGACAGGTCTGTAGCTGGGACACAGCTCAGTGGTAGGAAGCTTGCCTAGCGTGTTAGAGGCTCTAGGTTCACTCCCTAGGAAGGCATGAAAGACAATTGAGATAAATACTCTTGAGGAGATTGTTAATGTGGAATCTTTAAGTAAGTTTTCACACAGGATAGAGAGTGAAGCTTTGGACATGGAGTCCATCCAAAAGAGGGAAAACTGATATTGATGGTAAGAATCCTGAGAAGAAAGGAAACTATAGGGTCTCTTCTGAGAGGAGCCATAGACGTGCTATTCGTCTCTATTGACAGTCTCTCAATGGGTGTACTTTTGAATGGGAATACCATTTTTTTGTCTCTCAGAAAACAATACTGGTCCCACAATGGCATTAGGAGAAACAGACGTGGGAGCAGGTTTTCCTTTTATTCCAGATGCCATCCCCAAACCCAGCTTTTCATCAACTCAGATGATCGGACCATGCTTCTAACCGGTCACTATTTACCTCCGTCATTTCCACCCATCATGCATATGAATACTGACTAATTTTGAAAATTTGTCTATTTCAGAACTTACCATAAATATCTCAAATGAGAAAAACAGAATTTTATCTCTACTCCCTCCACCTATTAAAAAACAAACCAAGGGAGCTAGAGAGATGGCTCAGTGATTAAGAGCACTGACTACTCTTCCAGAGGTCCTGAGTTCAATTCCCAGCAACCACATGGTGGCTCGCAACCATCTGTAATGGGATCTGATGCCCTCTTCTGGTGTGTCTGAAGACAATGACAGTGTACTTATATAAATAGAATAAATATATCTTTAAAAAAAATCAAAGCAAACCAAACCAAAAACCCCAAACAACACCTGAAGTCTTGACTATCTCTACACTTAAATGTTTCCTTTTTGGGTGTTTTCATGTACTCTGCCCTTACACCTTTTCTTGGTTATGGCAAAAGCAACCACAAAACCTCTAGGGATGGGAAACTCTGACCTGAAGTGACTTCTGGGTGATATCTGCATTTTCTGAAGCCAGGGCCCCGAAAGCATCAATGAGTCCATTGTTCTGGGCTTCATCCGAGGCATACAGATGCTTTCCACCTAAAATGTGAATGAATAGGCTACTTTGTTTTGTAGAACAAGACTACCTACCATAATTTAATGATTAACAAGGTAACAGTTCAAATAAAGTCAGTGTTTCCATATGGATTAAGTAAATTGTCAGAAAGCCTTTAAGGTCATCTTGGAAATGATAGTTTAGTTTAATTCATCACAACTGCAAAGCAAAAATCACCTTATTATCTTAGGATAGGAACCTCAGTTGCATGAGGTGCTTCACCTGGTTATAGATAATGAAAGGCACTGTATTCTGTATATTTAAGTTCACAGACTTTTGTATAGCTCTTTAGGGGAATTATAAACTCTCATTTACATCATTTAGATCTTTTTCAGAGGAAAATAGATTAGAAGCAGAAAACTGGAAAGATGAAAGAATTGCTGTATCAAGGTATCTTGACAATAACTGGATATTGGTTAGAATATTTGTGACAGCAATAGATTGTAAAATGACCATAAAAGTGATTGGAATGATAGAAGTTTGTATAACCAACTACAAAAAAAAATCCCCAGATATATACATTTGGTACCATGAAAGCCAAATTAGTATAATGACTGATACTTGTACTACTGGTTTTGTATTCTCTACTATGTTTGAGAAGGTACTAGAAGCATGTAATCAGTTTTCATCACATCTGTATATTAAAATAAGTTACCATAGTTAATGTTAAACAAGTTACCATAGTTTGTATTTTCTCATTGTCTTTTTGTCCTGGAAATTCTCAGACTTTGTTCAAGGCCTGTCTTGGGAGACCTTTGATTCCATATACTTCCTTTCCCCTCCTTCCTCACTACAACATTTTGGGAGCATGGAAGGCTTGTAAGTCTCAATTAACTTTTATTCTATACTCTTCCTGTTGTGAATGAATGTGATCTATGTGTTTGGATTGACTGATGTGTCTTTTCCAGCCAACTGGACAAAGAATGTGATGAGAACAGAGGTTGGGTCTGTTTGATTCTTTTCTCCAATCCCTGGTCTGGCTCTTGCAAAATTGAGCTTAGAAGAAGTAGTTGAATGTCAGCTCTACATTTATACACAACAGTGGAAAGTCTGTAATGTAGAGATCATGTTTTACCTGTTAAAATTGGCATGTTTGTTACAGCTAAATCAGCTGATGGTCCCAAGGCAATGAAATGAACTACAGCCCCGCTGTCTTTCACCTTGTCAATACAGTTTTTGGCTGTGCTGTCCTCCCCATCACTCAACAGCAAGATCTCAGTCCCATCTGTTTGGTATCCTCCATGATTAAATACCTGCAAGCATAATCCAGAGTACCATTATCATACTAGATCAGCTATCCTGATGGAAAGTTAGAAAAAAGAAATAGAAAAATTATAGGTTAGAGATAATTTCTGTTTTAGATTCATAGAGTTTATGCTCAATAATCCTCAAAGAACATAAACAATTTTTCTGTCTTTCCCCAGTACAGGGGATATTTGTTCAACTGAAAGAGGGATGGGATCAGAAATTAGGAAAAATTTCCATGAACTAAATGACATCTGACCCTGGAAAACCCAGGCAAATAGATGCTTAAAATATGGAACACATTTTCTTCACCTGCTATCCTCTGACAAAGTAGTCAGTTTATATAAAATTGGACATATATACAGCCAGGTGCAGTAAGAAACCACACCAGCGTTAAAAGATAATGGACTCCAAATTAGAAAGCCCTTGAACACTTAGATAACAGGGGATTAACGGTCTAAGCACGTTGAAGTTGCAGATGCGACAGGGTCTCATCCATCCCATGCTGGCCTCAGATGGTCTAGCCAAAGATGATCTTGAAATTTTGATCGCTGTGCCTCGATTTCCCAAGTGCTAAGATAGCATATACATCAAGGTTATTTTTTTCCTGTGTATTTTGTCTAGAACCTTTTAAGATTAGTTATGCTAAAATCAAGAGGCAAGTAAGAACAGTAGAACTTCACTTTGCCCTAAAAGAAAAACAAAATACATGTGCAGTGGGATTTTTACCTGAAATGCAGCCTCAATTCCAGAGCAGATGGACGTCCCTCCACTGGCACCTGTAGGTAAGGTTTTCAAGAGCTTGTTTCTCTCGATGTCACTGTTTATTTGGATCAGCTCACTCTTAATAGTGGCCTGGCTACTAAAGTGTACCATCCCTACCCGGGCCCTGTTTTCAATTATCTGGCTTAGAAAGTATTTTGCTCCTTGGTTCATTCGATTTAGGCGATTATAACTCTGAGTGAAAAAGGATAAAAAAAAGAGAAAGAAATGAGTGGTTTTGACTGGATGATGCAAGCAGATCTCATAAAAGAGTGCTGGGGCTTATTGACAAGGACTGGACGACTATTAATTTGTACTATGGAAGAAAGCAATTATAATTTTAACTGGTAAATTAGTAAGGGTGGTTATATGTAACATGGGACACAAGAAGTTCATCTCTTTCTACGTGAAGCTGTTCCCAGTGGCTAATTAACCAAGTTAAGGTGGGGATTGGGTTGAAGCTAAAGCAATGACTCACACCTTAGAGACACAATTCATCCATAATCACTCCCATTGAGATAAATTCCTAACCCAGGGTTCGAGACCTCAGCCAGACTCTCTTGGTCTCCAAACATAGCTGAGCTGTGTAGTTCAGCATGGAGCCTGCTGAGCTACTGTTAACTCTGAGAAGGCCCGCCTACCCTGTCCCTTCTACATCTAGCCTTTCTCCTGCTTCTCTATCAGTGGTGCGACTGCATTGGCTTTCTGGTAACTCCCCAGTAACCATGTCTCCCTTAACTAGATGACTGCCCAGGACGTGCATGCCACACATTTATTTTCTCTAGATCCTCCCTGCAACCCATACCCAAACTGGTTTGCCAACTTACTGAACCAAATCAAAACAAAATCTCCTACGTATCTACAATTTTCCTTTGCCTGCTCACCTATCACTTTCTCGCTTCTGATTTTTATTACTTTTTTTTTTTTGGTATGGTGAGTGTGTGGGTGTGCAAGGATACTTGTGCCACAGCATACATGTCATGGTATACATGTAGAGGTGAGACGACAACTACAGGGACTAGTGCTTGTCTTCCATCATTTGAATGCCAGAGTTTGAACTCAAGTTGTTAGGGTTAGCCAAAAGCGTCTTTGCCCGGTGAGCTATCTCTTCAGCTTTTATCACAATCATCATTATTATCATTGTCATCATCATTTACTATTATTATTGGTGTGTGTGTGTGTGTGTGTGTGTGTGTCATGATGTCTATTGGTGTCTATGTGGAGGTCAGAAGATAATTTTGAGGAGTCAGTTCTCTTCTGATTCTTGAACTCATATTGATAGGATATTTTACCTGCTGAGCCATTCCACCAGCCCTACTTTGCCTTTAAACACAGATCTACCAGTGCCTTATCTGGGGTAGTCTATTCATCTCTCAATTGGCAGTCTCTTCTCTCCTCAGTGACATTTCTCAGGTTACTCGTGTGTAGTGATTTTGAGCGTTCTTCTGTCTTCCATGAAATCCCATGTCACTGTGGCTCGCTTTGTCAGTCCTTCTCACTCATTGTCCTTTCAATAACCACCTTCCCTTATTTGCTGATGCTTTTATTTCCGCGTTAGCACATCCGTCCCACCCCACAGTGCAGTCACCGAGTGCTTAATCATATTACACCTGCTTGTTTGTGCCTCATATTCATTTTAGCAGCTATCTATTGGTCACTCATATATTATGAACTCTGGATCAGAAGAGGTTCTAGTTATGAGTAGAACTCTTAGTCTGGTTGAGAGAGACACAGGCAGTATCAAGAAAATATACAGAACCAGAGAGATGCAAAAGGCTTTGGAATTGGTAAAGTTCCTATACAGCACCCCAAGAGTCCAGCCCTACTCTTGGTGAAAATGAATGTGCCTATTAAATTGTAGAGGACAGGAATGACTTACATAGGTGATGCTGAGACAGAGAGAAAAGCATTTCTGGGCTATAACAATATCTCATTTTTTGGGGTGTTTTATGAGACAGAGTCTAACTATGCAATCCAACTGTCTTTGAACTTGCCTAGTCTCCCAAATGCTAGGATTACAAGAACATACTTCCATAGCTCATCCTAAATGAACAAAAACTTCTCAAGTACATGTAGCTCTGTTTTCAAAGTCTAGAACATTGCTTGCTATTCACAGCATGATAATAGAAGGATGGAATGACTTCATATAGCCGTTTGTTCTTCCTAGTGATGCTTTTCTTTTTATGTATGAGAAAAACACTTGAACACTTGAGAAATAAGATGACATCATGTGGGTATTCTGCTAACTGACTCTGATGCTTGAGCTGAAATGAGTTTAAGCATATACTGATAAACCCTATTCTCATTTCTCTTAAGCATTTTATATGCAGGATCTCCTTTCAGTATCTTGTTCTGACTAAAGGCTGTGAGAGTTCTCCTCATTCAGCTATAAATTTTCTGGATCAAACACAGATACCCTTAGGTTACCTCTTTTTAGATATGTTTCTCCAAGTATAATATTTTTTCAATATCTTTCAGGTTATGATCTCAGGAAGTAATAGTGTTTTATGACATCATACAATTAAAAAAGCCACATAACAAGTGGCTTTTAGGGTGTATGTTTATTATTTGGTTATCCCTGTCTCTATACTCAAAACAAAGACAAACAAACAAAAAGGAGCCTATGAACTCACAGTCATACTCCCGGACACATCAAGCACCAGGCACAAAATTCTTTCACCGATCCTCAGCAGAGAGAAGAAGGTTGGAGAAGGTGACATCTCCATGGGCGTGCTGTTTTTAAAATCCTCAGAATTGCTGATTACTTCCCACGTGCTTCTGTATTTGCACTTCATATTATGTAGAGTTGGAGCATCTCGATTATGGTTTTCTTTTTTACAGAATGCAGTCACCTAAAATTGTAGTAAAGTGTAGAAAATTACTATTTCACGTATGAAAAAATGATCTGGAAAACAAAGAGAAAGTATGTCCAGTGTTAGAATGTGAAAGTAACTATGCTCATCTAGCAAGGTGGCCATAGTTGATCCTTTGCCAAGGTCCAGGACCTCACTAGCCATGGATGCTGGCTAGGTGGAGAGCACCAGGCAGGTTTCTTTCCTTGTGAGTGGGCCTCAGGTTCAATTAGACAGCTGTCGGTTGCTAACACGTGAGTGCCATATATTGGATCTTTATGCATATCTTTCCATGCTGACCATTGCAGTTTATATGTATTGCAATGGGAGAACTCTTTAATTGCTTTATTTCCTTGGCAGCTTGCATAGTATTTTCTGGAACCATGAATACTAGATGGCAGGAAAGAGATTTTCTGGTCAGACCTACCTCAAGCCATCTGAGTCCTATGTCCTGAATGTGTGGTGTATTCAGCAACAAGGGCTAACTCTTAAGTCCTGAAAGGCAATCCAGGGTTTCATCAACAATCTATCTATACGTTTTTGGAGTCACTTGGAGGACTACCCTGATCAACTGTTTGAAAAGTTTCAAACAGTTTGAAAAGTTTACTGTAGGGTAAAGGAGTTGTTGTCACTTTGTGGTTCTTATGTGGGGGCTCGGTTAGCACAAATATCTAAGTGTTTATGTGTGTGTGTGTGTGCTCACGCATGTGCACACAAATGCCCATGTATACATTGAATGGTAGGTATATATAATATAATATAATATAATATAATATAATATAATATAATATAATATAATATAATATAATATAATAATATAATATGATTTTGAGGCTTAATTAAACAACCTTGATGTTATTTGTCCCTTGTCCCTCTTCCTTACATCCACAGATAAATGTAGCTGCCACCCCTCATTAAAGAAGCCTCTCTTTTCAGCAAATGGAGACTATTATAGAAAACTACAGCTTGACACAGTGTAGAGATGGACCGATCACGTGGAGCCCCAGTGGATACATCTACATTACAGTGTCTGTATCTATGACTTTAGGAACATCATGGGGAGGGAGTAGGAAGATTGTAGGAGCCAAAATACAAGGAAGTCTCCAGTGAAGCCGTCTCTACTAGAAATAGCTGCACAGAGAAGACTAAAACAATGGCATAATCCATGGTCATGTTAACATGGTAAAGAAGACTTTCAAAGGTCCCTACCTCTAGACAAAGAACCACTGGCAGCTGATCACTGCTGGGGGAAGGAGGGTTAGCCTCTCCCCGCTCCTTATTGGTTGTCCAATGCTGAGTGGTGTCCTTGAACCATATGCATACCACCAATGAAAACAGACTCAGCAATTTGTTTTTAAATATATTTGTGCACACACATGCACACATATGGATGTATGTAACAATAGTTATCCAAAAAAGCAGCTGTTGAGAGTTGGGGTCACAGGAGTGGTCTGAAGGAGTCTATTTGTGAGGGTTCAATTTTGATTAAAAATATTTTTTAAAAAAATTAAAGGAGAATATGTATTGTATTTAGCAAATATGCATGCTCAAGTAAAATACTATTAACACTTAAGTAGTCTTATCATTATAATAGTTAGCAATAATTATCTAGATATTAATAGACAATAGTGTTAATAATATATAATAGAGGATGAATACTTACTGAGAGTCAGTTACTGTTCAATGAACTCTACATTAACATATTCAATCCTCATGTCATGCTTAACATCCATTACTCCAGTAGAGCGCTTGCCTAGCAATGTGCAGCTTCTTACTTTCATCATCATCATCATCATTTAAAATTAGTGATATTAGACAAATCCCTTGATTATAGATTTTTGGACACAGTGACTGGTATACTTACAGAATCAATACTCTGCATGAACATTATAGATGACTTTTCTGATTGAACTTTATCAGGGAAGAATTGACAATCCTTTTCATATAACTTTGTGGTGGAATTAGTTCTGCACCTTCTGGTTATACAGCTGCCCCCTTGGCATGTGTGGACTCTATTCACACCTGTGATACTTGTGGAGCACCTGAAAATATGGAAGTGAAGCTAAGAGACAACTTAGTCATTCATTTGAAAAGTGGTCCTGTTCCCACTGAGCTTTGTGGCATGGTATTTCTTGAATATATGCTATGAACTTCCTAGACTGATGGCAAAGGTTAAGAGGGCCAATCAAAGAAATCATTTGTTTCTCAAGAAACTGTAATGAAAAAAACAAACAACAAACAAATCCAAATCCAAGGGGTATCTCCAGTCATACACAGTGGGACTCTCAGTTGGAATAAAAGCTGTGGGTCGTTTCCTTAGACAGTCCCATGGCTGGCCTTGTACTAACTCTCTGTAGGCACCTGGTTAACAGAACCTGTGGACCATTTATACTTGGTGCTTATTACAGTCTTCTTTTCCAGGAAGACATCTTCTGAAGAGTGGGGCATCACATTACTACATGTGCTTTGACTAATCAAGAAGCATCTTTTTATCGAGAGGACAATGTGACTGGAATCAGAGAATGAGGGACTGCCAAGAAAGAATATGGAATAAAGAAAGATTGATGCGTGATATTCCATGGGAGAGTCATAGCTGGCAGAGATCAGAACAGATACACCAGGCTTTAGCCAGAACGCATCTCACTGGCTTGCAGTTAAGTCAGTAAGTGAATTATAAATGAGTTCTGGCATCTATGGGAGAGTTGTGTAAATAAAAAGTGTCAAGATGCCAAACAAATGGTTGGCATTGAGGCTGTATGTATTTTTGTACAGATAGTCATTGTCTTCAATGACTAAAATAAGCATAAAAGAGACTTGTGATATTGCATCTGTTATCTGCCTTGGGACAAAACATGGATGCTTGTCATTGGGAAGGACTATAGGGCAGTTAAAGCTGGAGGCCATTTAAGGGTACTTAGGAGTCATGCCATGCCTTGTTGCTTCAATTTTCTTTGACGAAGCGCTGTAGAATGGCTGGTCTTCGTTGTACTCATCAAATACTCCCCAGCGAAGGTGGGCCCATTCATGGACCAACAGTTTTCCTGTAAGACATTTTTTCAAATATATAATCATAATTCAATTGGTAAATTTTGTGTCTCAAAAATTTCCAGGCCACTGAGATGGCTCAGTGGGTAAAAGTGCTTGCCACCAAACATGACAGCCTGAGTTTAGTCCTTGAATCCCATGTGGTAAGGGGCAAGAACTGACTCTCAAGTTCTCAAGTTGTCTTCTGCCTGCCACACCACCCCTGGGGGGGGGGGAGAGAGAGAGAGAGAGAGAGAGAGAGAGAGAGAGAGAGGCAGAGACAGACAGAGACAGAGAGACAGAGAGAGACAGAGACAGAGAGACAGGAAAGTAAGTGAGAGAGAAAGAGAGAGACAGAGAGAGATAGAGACAGAGAGACAGAGACAGACAAACAGACTGGAGAGTAAGGGGGGGAGAGATAGAAAGAGAGAGAGAGAGACAGAGACAGAGACAGAGACAGCGACAGAGAGACACACAGAGAGAAGCAGGAGAGTAAGTGAGAGAGAAAGAGAGAGACAGAGAGAGATAGAGACAGACAGACAAACAGACAAACAGACAGACTGGAGAGTAAGAGAGAGGGGGGAGAGAGAGATAGACAGATAGAGAGAAAGAGAGAGAGAGAGAGAGAGAGAGAGAGAGAGAGAGAGAGAGAGAGATTAGGTTTTCCGTAACTCTTAAAGTTTATATTTTGTTTATTAAAAGGCTTTTTATTAAGTGGTACTCATAGCTCTACAGAATATTAATTTTTTTATTTCACAGCATGTTAAATCAACGAAACATTATGGAGCACATACCTCAGTCACATTAAACTAGGATTTGATTTTCAGTTCTTGGTGAGTCAAAGGTCTCCCATTAGTTTATGGCTTGTCAAATACCAACCCAGTCAACAGTCTAGTCAGATATACAGAACTCTGCTATACAGGTATTTTGAGGTGAAACTTCAGGAAAAAAAGAAACAGACTAAGAATGCTCCTGAAGGAGTTGATATTGAAGAATGATATGGATATGCTATTGTAGATTATGTAGATCACATCAGCTATTGCAACAAGAATCTGGTGAATTTTGAGAAAATTTAAATGGCTTGGAATCAGCACCGTAAAATAAATCACGTGTTTAATGTCACAAAGCTAATAGAGGAATCAACATCTGGACCCAAGAATTTCTGTTCCTATCTGCTTATTTAATAGAGTTGCTTGGTGTAAACATGCAATGCTTTAACCAAGATTTCCCACCTGAATCTCCATATTCATTTTGTTTTCTCCCCAGTACAAAGTCAGGGGTGAAGTGGATGTATTCTGCTTTCTTTTCACACTCTGTGAACTGCCGGGTGTAGGGCTCATCTCTGCCCTTGAGGGTGGGAGGTGCAATTTTAACATCGGCCTGAGAATGTTTAAAAAGATCATTAACACTTGAAGAACAGAAAAGACAATAGTTAGAAAAACTCTGAATCAATAAATTTGTAGCCAAACTAGCAAGCACCAGTAATTTTTTTTGGTTAGACAGAAAAAAAAAAGATACTTACATGCTTGTAACTCTCCTGTTTTGGCCTCCTGTACTCGGGTTTGTTTGACCAGCTCTCAGGAATTAATATAGATACATTTTTGAAGAAAAATCTTTTTTCTGTAGCTTCAAAAAGGTATGTGGATGCTTTAGTCACCATTTCCTATTATCAAATGGAAACAGGTATGTAAAAATGATCATGAGATTGAAATCATGTCTCAGGCGCGCTTCTCTGGCATACCCTGTTACTACAAAGGCAGCCATTCATCAAGTTCACCAGCAGGCTCTGCTCACCCTTCTAACCTGACTTCTGTCAATCCAGAACTCCTTCACTCTGCACCTGGAAAGACTTCTGGATCCTCTGTCATCTTACCTCAAAAGACAGCTTGTGGCAGCGTGTACTTGGTGACTACAATAATTGATTTACATAGCTATATACCTGGAGTTTAGAGTCACTTATTTGGCTCTAATATTTGTGTGAACACTTTTCGGTTGGCTTATGGAATGTCTGAAGCCTGGTTACTTTACCCTTAGTAGACTGAAGACACTCCTAATTTCAAGAAATGAACCAAAAACAGCTCTAGCAGATGCAAGCTAAGGAGAACAGCCCACGGGGGTCATTATCAGGGTAGGGCTTTCTTTCCATCCTCCTGGAAGGAAGCGGTGGGAAGGTTGGACACGTGGAGGACAGGGAAATAGAAAATCCCACAGCACATGTAAAAAGAAAACGATCACATAACTGTTATTCTGCCATCAATGTGAAAATACCCATTCTCCCCCAGTTTCTTGAGTCCAAAGCTACTGCAATTTACTAGAGGATTCCTCTCTCCACAGAGTCACGGTCTAATCAAGAGAAACATGGATGAAAAGCAATAAAGGTTCCTTACAACCAGGTCTATCAGAGGGGGGTAAAATATAAAGCAATATAAAAGAAAATAAATAAAATATCTTCATTTTGCAGGAGCCATCTGGTTTTCCACTGCTGTCTATCAGGACAGAGCCCTCTGATGCTTCCAGCTTTAACAGACACCGCTGCTCCTGAAGGCCGCCGTCTCTCACCCTGCTGCCCTCTGAGCGTCTAGCACTCTGACTCACATGCATTGTAAAGAGTCAGCAAACTGATGAGTGACTAATCACGAGATTAGTCAGAGTGTCAGAGTCCAGAGAATGAAGGCCCAGTGCAGGAAGGCTGTGGAGAACTCTCAAATGGGTTGGAAGTTGTTTAGCACACATAGAAGGAGGATAAAATAATTCTCTTTCTCCCTGGATGTCTTTTTTAAAAATGAGAGATATTTAGGCTTCCATGTTCTTCAGTAAGAGAGTGTTCTCTGCACATGTGAGATAACTGAGTCTTGGTGGTTCAAACTGAGTTATTAATTGGTCCAGTAAACTTGCTGTGTACAACCGTGTACGCTGTGTATTACATAACTCCAAGGGACTGTATTTCCTTGAGAGTCTCCATGGCGTTTCACTCAACTTATCTTAGATAGCAGTGAGTTTGTAGGCCATGGAGAGCTAGCTATCAGAGACCTTGTAGGTAACTTTCATCTTCAGAGATACACATGTGCCTAATAATGGTTTCTCGAAGTTTTCTAGCCAGAAGTCCTATGGTATTACCTCTAAATTCCTCCCCAGAATTCCTATAATGTTTTATTTTATCTCATTTTATTAAAAAAAAACTGAAAAATCAGTGTTTGCAGAAGTGGTCAAGTTCCAAACCCCAAAAGATCCTGAATGTAAAATACCAAGGAAACTTGAGCATGGAGAATATCAGGTCATCAATTATAAACATTTTCCAAAATTATTATGTATAAGTAGATGATAGCAAGTCACAGAATTGCCTGATGATAGAGGACTTTGTAAAAGGCTAAGTGTCAAAACAAAGCAAAACAAACCCCACTAAACTGGAGACAGGTTTGCGAAGGACTGGCTTTCTACTTGTAGTGTTCAATAGGAGACTATGCTGAGAATTCTTTTTTTGTCTCTAAAAACAGTCTTATCAAATGTCCATTTTCTGAATTCAAAAAAGCTTGTAGCCAATCATTGATTCCTGAACACCAAGAATCCATCACACAGAGTCTGCTCTTCATATTCTATAGGGGAAATATTTTTTAAAATATCTTTTACAGTTCATTCAAAGGACACCAGGTAGTGACTCCTCTGGGCTGCTGGGTGGTTTACAGAGAATGCGTGACAAGTGGAAGCCACCGGAAATCACCGGGATAGTTCAGTTCACCAAGATGATAGTTCAGTTTACCGAGATGATAGTTCAGCCCAGTAGGGAGTTTAACAATGACCATTAGGCCCCAGTGGGGATGACCCCAAACCGAGTAGTTGAAGTTGTGGGTGTGCTCCTGAGGGCATAAAAAATGATTATGTAGCTGAAATGCCAGTCTTTACATGGAACACTGGCATTGGAAGACACTTTGGTGAACCAAAGCTCTAGGTTTAGTGAGTTGGCTTCTCCCTCTGTTTGCAACCACTTGGTGGACTCACACCCTTCACACACTGACCGTCTCTAACTTTTATCTAATTACACATTTTACGTCTATCCCTGAACTCAGATTTCCGTCTCTTCTACCTGGATGTCCAAGAGCACCTCAATTTGAAACCACCTTGAGCTAACTCCTCCTCCCCAGGTACAGCTCTTTCTTATAGTTTCTCTTCCCAGCTGAGGAAAACTCTTTACAAGTAGTTAAGCCAAAATTATGAAGTTTGTCTTGCCTCTTAACATTTCCTGTCTACCTTCTCCTTCCCACACAAGTATAAATCAACAAGAGTGTTGTCTTTGATACTTTCCAAATATGTTCAGTATCGCTTGAATCACTCCTGACTCTTCCTTGTCCCAGGCAACACCCCATTCATAACCACAGCCTGGCTCCTTCTGCACTCCTATGCTAGATGCATACAGTGATGTGGTTTGAATGAGCCGTCTATGGTTTCAGCTAGTCAGAGTGGTCCTAGAGAAGGCACCAACATGTACACATCCTCTGCTAAGCTCTTTCATGGAGTCTCATGACTCAGAGGGAAGGTAAAGATGCTCTTTCCAGTGGTCTGGGCTCTGCCACTGTGTGTGAGCTTCTCCCAACTTCCGTGTAAGACACCTTTCCTCCAGCTTATCCAGTTTCCTTGATTCTATAAGCTGCTATTACCCACAAAGGGCTCTCATCTTGGTGTCTGTTCACATGTCCCATCATGAGTGAGGGCTTTTCTGAGGGCTTCCCTGCAGGAAACAGTGACTTACGCTCTTGCCTATTAACAGCTGTACCCTGCTGTCTCTCTCATGCATGGGGCAGCGTGCCCCAAAGTAACCTATCAACATCGTACCTACTCTCCCACTCACTTTGATATTACTGATGACCCTGAAAAAGAAGGCATACCTATAATTCCTTTTTCTTTTAATTTACTTCCCTTTCCTCAATGATATCACAAGCATGTCTATGCACACACAACAAATAAGTAAATTACAAAAACAGAATGAGAATCCAACTTCTGAATGACAGACAAGGAAGTTGAAGATCAGAGAGGCTCTCTGCTTCATCTATGATCTTACAGCGAGAAGGTAGCATTGCTTCTAGAACCTCTAGAACCTTCATCTGGAATGTCCTAGAGCCTTCATCTCACTCCGTGCCTTCCAAAACTGTCGGCTGTTTTCTAACTTCTCAAAGCATCCAGAGGTTTCCATAGTAACTCTTAGTATCACTATTAACCTTTTTATTCTTCAAAACTCAAATAGGAGAAAGCCCAGTTTTCTTACCTTTATGTGTTCAATTATGGTTACATCTTCCGGCACAGCAGGATCAATAGCAATAATGATGTCTTCATAACCATTCTCATTCAGCCTTACCAAGGAAGTGTCTGACCCTTGAAGCAGGTACAGGAGCAGGAGGAAAACAACCCTCCTGGAGAACCCCATCATTCCGGCCTGGTCGCCCAGAGGCCTTTCTTTCTCTGTGTCTCTTGCCAGATCTATATATACGGCTAAAAATCACCTGTTAACTGATTGAGGGATGGTGACTGTATAAAGGTCAATGTTCATGTACAGCAAAACACACAACCAGGTTACATAAAAGGTTTTTTGGTATAAAGGAATAGAACTTGTTCTTCTACATCATACTTTGATGGTCACTGTTGAAGAAGGATAAACAATATAGATTTGACTTAACTGAATTTGTTCTTTGAAAGAACATACATAACCCATTCTGTTTACTTTTTCCACATTCCCAATCAACCCCCTCCCTCCACTTCCCTACAAATCCCATTGCCACACGCACATCTTTTTGTTGCTTTGTGACCTGCTAAGTTTGTTAGCACCATCTATGTGTCACTGGCTTGGGGACTATATGTCGGAGAGCAGTGAGCTCATCAGTGGTACACAACTGAAAATAGTGACAGTCCCTCCGTGAAAAAGCATCCATAGCCAGTAGTTAGTCTAGGAAGTGTAGGCCCCCTTGAGCCCCTCCCTGATCCCTGATTGACAGGCCTAGTCTTGTGAGATCCTGTGGAAGCAGCCCAGTCTCCTGTTAGATCATGATGGTAATGGCTGGGTCATGCTCTGAAGGATGATTTCATAACCATTTTCTCCATTTTCCAGCTGCTTCATTCCTTCTGTCCCCTCTCAGGATGTTCCCTGACCCTTCAAGGGGACAGTGTAACTATCTCATTCAGATCTGAACCATCAACTGCCATGCATTCTCAGTACTTTAAGTAGCCACAGGTCTCCGCATTCTCTCTAGTCACTTCAAAGGAAGGCTTCTCTGAGCTAGGCTGAGCGTAGCATTTTTCCATGGGTATGCACAGATATTTAGAAGGAAGCCTGATCTCTGCCAATTTAGATAAACATCTTATCATTACTTTGTTAATAATTCCCTCTTCTGCTTACTTTGTGTCTCAGATATTTTATTGCATCAACCATAACTTTCTTTGAAGAACCATGAAAGAAACGTATTTATACTTCCCCATGTCTAATTTATCATGAAAAAGTTTCTTATATCTAACTTATAGAAGAATAAACATGTCATAATCAAACTGTAAGAGCTAAGGTTACCTTTAAGCCCCTCCTGCCCAAGAGCAGAGCACTTCCTGGTATGCCAGGGCTGTTGTTCATGTAAAAATAACAGGTCACGTGTTTTCACTTCAGTATGCAAGGCTGGTTCCCAGCTGCATAGGATATGCTTGGTTACATACAGGTGGGAGGTAGATAGGCAGAAAGTACATCACGGTGTATGTTTGCCCCTAAGGAGACAACAGCAGGAAGTGCCACAGCTTTGTGAGTTCTACTTTTAAGAGTAGCATAATTCTTTGGGAATTCAGGGTATGGGCTTGGCCAGCGTTTATCATCATGGCCAGTATAAAATAAAACTTGCTTTAATTGGACACTCGTGGCCTTGGCCTCTCTCCTTGAAATTTTTAGGTTTAACAATAACACAATTGGGGTATTCGTTTTTAGATTTTTATTTATTTATTTATTTATTTATTTATTTATTTATTTATTTTATTATTATTATTAATTTTAAAATTTTAATTAATTTTTTTTACACTCCAGTTTTTGTCCCGGTCCACCCTCTGACTGTTCCCCATCCCATACCTCTTCCCCACCCCCTGTCTCCACGAGGATGTTCCCACTCCTCCACCCCACCAGACCTCTCCACTCCCTGGGGCCTCCAGTCTCTTGAGGGTTAGGTGCATCTTCTCTGTCTGAACCCAGACCCAGCAGTCCCCTGCTGTATATGTGTTGGGGGCCTTATATCAGCTGATGTATGCTGCCTGGTTGGTGGTCCAGTGTTTGAGAGATCTCAGGGGTTCAGGTTAATTGATACTGCTCGTCCTCCTCCTCCTCAGTTTCTTCCAGCTTTTCTCTAATTCAACCACAGGGGTCAGCAGCTTTGTCCATCGGTTGGGTGCAGATATCTGCATCTGACTCTTTCAGCTGTTGGTTGAGTCTTTCGGAGGGCAGCCATGATGGGTTCCTTCTTTCAAGCACTCTACAGCATCAGCAATAGTGTCATATCTTGGGACCTCCCCTTAGGCTGGATCTCACTTTGGCCTGTTGCTGGACCTCCTTCTCCTCAGGCTCTTCTTCATTTCCATCCCTGCAGTTCTTTCAGACAGGAGCAATTATGGGTCAGAGTTTTGACTGTGGGATGGCCACCCCTTCCCTCACTTGATGCCTTTTATTTCTGGCGGGGGTGGGTCCTACAAGTTCCCTCTTCTCACTGTAGGGCATTTCATCTAAGGTCCCTCCCTTTGAGTCCTGAGAGTCCCTCACCTCCTGGGTCTCTGGTGCATTCTGGAGGGACCCCCACTTCCTACCTCCCCAGGTTGCCTGCCTGTTTCCATTCTTTCTGCTGGCCCTCAGGGCTTCAGTTTTTAGATTTAAAAAAGAAATCCATTCTAGGTGCCTCCATCTTCCTTCCTTCCTTCCTTCCTTCCTTCCTTCCTTCCTTCCTTCCTTCCTTCCTTTCTTTCTTTCTTTCTTTCTTTCTTTCTTTCTTTCTTTCTTTCTTTCTCTTTTTTCATGGAATATATTTCAAACAAGTATTTGATCATATTCCTCCTCTTCATCCCCAGTTCCTCCCATACTCTCTTCACCTCCAACCCCACCCGACTTCATGTCTTCCCACCCCTTTCTCAAAACCTGAAAATCAAGACAAAGATGGTCAACACCCAAAACAGATCATATGGTTGTTTGTGTGTGTGTGTGTGTGTGTGTGTGTGTGTGTGTGTGTTTGTCTGTTTGTTTCATTTTGGTATTTTTTCTTAGCTTGGAATCCTGGAGGGAATCAGACCTGCTGATGACCATGCTTGTGTCAGGAATGTCCCCTGTGGACTTTTAAAACTAAAAGTTGGTCATGTGTGAGGAGATCAACAGCAATTTCTTTCTTTGTGGAAAGAACGTTTGAATTATAGCTTAGGTCTCTTGATTTCATTTTTATTTCCTGGAAGTAATTTTTTTTTCCTGAAGTGGGTACTGGATTTTAGTTATCACAACTTAATCACCATTGACTCATAATTTGGGCCATAAATAGGCTGAGATTTTTTGTGTGAGGCTTAGCTTCCTCACTAAGGAAGCAAACAAACATGAAGATGCTGCCCCTTCCTCTCATTAATGTCCAGATTGCCCCTCTCTTCCCTTTGTTCTCTTCTGCCTTTTTGATGAATTGTTAAATTCCTGGAGCTCCATGTGTTTTCTTTCTTTCTTTTATTGGTTATTTTATTTATTTACATTTCAAATGTTATCCCCCTTCCCAGTTTCCCCTCACAAGCCCTCTATTCTCTCCCTTGTCATCCCTACTTCTATGAGGGTAATCCTCCATGCACTTACCCACTCCTGCCTCAGCACCCTAGCATTCCTCTATGCTGGGTCATTGAGCTTCCCCAGGACCAAAGGCCTCTCCTCCCATTGACACCTGATAAAGCCATCCTCTGTTACAGATGCAGCTGGAGCCATGGGTCCTCCCTGCCCGCCCCATGTTTGTACTCTTTGGTTGGTGGTTTAGTTCCTGGGAGCTTTGGGGTTCTGGTTGGTTGATATTGTTGTTGTTCTTTCTATGGGGTTGTAAACCCCTTCATTTCCTTCAGTCCTTCCCCTAATTCCTCCATTGGAGCCTCCGAGCTCAGTCCAATGGTTGGTTGCATGTTTCTGAATCTGTGTTGGTCAGGCTCTGGCACACTTTCTCAGGGGACAGCTATACCAGGCTCCTGTCAGCAAGCACTTCTTGGCATCAGCAATAGTGACTGGGTTTGGTGTCTGTAGATGAGATGGATCCCTAGGTGGGACTGTCTCTGGATGGCCTTCCCTTCAGTCTTTGCTCCAACCACTCTGGAAATCAGTCTGGTGGTTCCTCAGAAAATTGGAAATAGTTCTACCTAAGGACCAAACTATGCCACTCCTGGACATATATCCAAAAGATGCTTCAACATATAACAAGGACACATGCTCCACTATGTTCATAGCAGCCTTATTTATAATAGCCAGAAGCTGGAAACAACCAAGATGTCCTTCAACAGAGGAATGGATACAGAAAATGTGGTACATTTACACAACAGAGTACTACTCAGCTATTAAAAACAATGACTTCATAAAATTCTTAGGCAAATGGATGGAACTATAAAATATCATCCTTAGTGAGGTAACCCAATCACAAAAGAACACACATGGTATGTACTTGCTGAAAAGTGGATATTAGCCAAAAAGAAGCTCGGAACACCCATGATACAACTCATAGACTATATGAAACCCAAGAAGAAAGAAGAATAAAGTGTGGATGCTTTAGTCCTATTCAGAAGGGGGAAGAAAATAATTATGGGAGATAGAGAGTAGGAGGGACCTGAGAAGAAGAGAAGAGGGGGAAGGAAAAAGAAGGGGGAGGATCAGGTGTGGGAGGAGTCAGGGATAAGTACAGAGGGTCAGGAACTTGAATGGAGTTATGTGGCAGTGGGGGATGGGGAACTGGGGGTAGTCACTAGAAAGTCCCAGATGGCAGGGGCCCAAGAGGTTCTCAGGACCCAACAGGGATGACATTAGTCAAAATACCCAACAAAGGGGAGAGAAAATATTTCTTCAAGGCCAGGTCCAAGGATGAGGCCACAGGTGTGCACTATGATAAAACGAGGCCATGTGAAACTGTTACTTTGAACTTATACTGAGCTTATAGAATGAAACACTGCTTTGAACTTAACTATCAACATCCTTCTGTAACTCCTCTTTTGTGTAACGTTTTATCTATGAGGTAATTTTCCAAAGAACTTTTGTCTAAGAAGGTATAAGAAGGCCAGAGAGAAGGAATAAAGTGTGACTTAGGGGGCTCAGCCCCATCCACCAAATGTATGTATGTATATGTCTGTCTATACATGTATGTGTGTAGGTACATGTGTATGTATGTAAGTATGCATGAACACTTGTGGAGTGGTTGAGACAAGTAGCTGGGCTTGATCAGTATGT